AAAAAAATGTAATTGCAGAAAATAAAAATCATATCGTCGTAAAAATTAATATCATCAAAAAAGAGGTAAAAGCAAGAGAAAGCAGAAAATATTTATCTCATAATGCTATTAAAATACATTAAATGAATCTCTACCAAAGTTCCAAGCATACAATACAATGCCCACCACAATCAAGTGTTTGAGAACTAATTGTTTTTCTAATCTACATAAAATCAGCGTTCATATATAATTCTTACTAACTCAAAACTTCATGAGTTTAGCATATAATATGAGAGTAAATTCTTCTCTACTACTATGACACAATAGTGCCAGCTCAGACTAATTACAGTGCACACAACCTTTATAGCATCATGCCATTGCGAAAGCATTTCCGAAGAAGTTAATATCATATGCACAATTTTGGCTCCATGATTAGGAGGATTAGACCAGTTAGATCGAATGACCAACGACATTTGTGAATTAAATGCAGTTAATAATGATGGGTCAGATACAACAACTGTTAAATTACCAATTCGCTCATCTGAAAAAATAAAAATTGCCATAATTATATTTGAAACAATATTTTAATTTCATTAATGGAGAATAAAAAATTGTTAGATAAATTATACCGTGATGGGGAGATCTCAGACCTTTCAAATTTTAAAAAGCAAAAATTAAAGTTGTAGAAACATAGATTTAAAAATTTTGCTGTGTTTAATAACTAGCAAACAAACTTTAGCTTTAAATGGTAACCCAGAGCTAAACAGCACTCACTATATAGACCGAAATTTTTGGCAAATGACTGCGCACAAAACAACTCCATTCCTTGTTCAACAAAGTATCGTACTGCCCAAGCATCTGCATCGGGATCACCACTAGCGAATCCTTGATAGGCCAGGTCGAAAAATGGGAAAAGTCGCTTCTTCTTAGATAAAATAAAATCCTAACTTCCAAGGCAAGTTTTTTAGAATATGTTTTTTACTTTTCAAAAAATAAAAAACAACCTATTATTTACTAATTATCATTAAGGGAAACTGGAACGCACCTTAAGTACTTCAGCAATTTGTTTCCACTCGTCATGTGTTGGATCCATACCGGTTGGGTTATGAGCACATCCATGCAAAACGATCACCGAACTGGAAAATCCATCGTTTACTGCATTATTGAAAACCATATATGAAAATAAATTACTTTTTTAGTCTGCAAAGAGTAATAATTCGAGGAACAAAAACTTAAATCTCATATATAAATAAGAGGAAAGAAACGATTATTCAAAGATAAGAAGAACAAGTCTCGTTGATCTTATAAAATGCACTTGAACTTTCAAGCTATGATACAAAGTATGACTGCACTACATTTTAAATTATTAAAATTCAAAATGCCGAAACTATAATGAAAAACTAGCTTCTCGGGTGCTGCTTCAAGATCGATTAACATGTTTTTCAAGTCAATACATCGATTTTCAGCATCCCAGTATCGATATTCTCGTATATTTGCAAAACCAGCCCGTGCAAAGATTAATTTATGATTGCCCCTGAAATGCTCCATAAAATTTTTCAACCATTTATTCAACCAACTTTCGACATTACATTATAATTGAAAAACAGCATATGAAACAATACTTATTCAAATATGAAAAGTCGAAAGTGAAGCTTACCAAGATGGTTTAGAAATATAAACTGTTTTATTCTTAAGCACAAAACTGAGAAAGTCAGCTCCTGCTCTTAACGAACCTGTTCCTGAAAGACACTGTACACCAGTGACCTGAAACTTTCATTAGACTAATAAAAAAAAGAATGGTGATCATCAACAGGAAGAGAATTGCTGTTCAAAACACAGCGATAAAATAAGCACATAACTACTCACAGAGCAAGGAGATCAAAATGCAAACCCGTCCAGTTTTGATTGCTGACGAATCTTTGCCAAGAACTAGCTCCACTGCTACTTTACAGAATGGTTCATAACCAAGAACGGGCAAATATTCATGATTTTGGCACATCTCAGCAAGACGCTTTTCTGCTTCACGAACCACCGGTAATACCCATGGTTCGCCTTTCTCTGTGCGATATGCTGGAATTTAAAGATGTACTAATATATCTAACAGAATTAACTGGAATATACCAAAAGCTCTGCAATAATATATTTATTTAATGGGAACAAAGAAAGGTACCTTCAAGGTACTCTTTTTACTACCTCCAATAGTTAAATTAACTTTGTGTTCTGCTGGCTCATCTTGGCACATCTTATTCATGAAAAATACTTCAATTGGAGAAGCTATATCGATCCCTTGGAAAAATGATGACATTTCTTGTTGTCTAAAAAGGATGAAGCGATAAATTTTCAAAAATGTTTAAAACATCAAGAAAAAAGCGGTTTAAAGCACCGCAACAACAGCGGTTGAAATCAGCATGGGAAAGCGAGAATAAAATTAGTAAGTTTGCACTAGATAGACAGGTTCATTAATGAAACGTAATTAATTCAAACAATATAAGATTCTCGGTAAAAAGTCATTTGTATGGGGGACAAAACCTGAAAACTCCAAGCATACATCTGAAACTATCGTTAAACCAAAATCTTCGAACTCTGAGACTTTAAGGAAAGTTTCAAATTAATTCGGACTGAATGATAAGATCTAGCAATTTTAGACAGATAAAAAATCTGCAAGAGAAAAAAGAACAGTGCGTTGGCAGTGGACTGTATATTGCACCTGATTTGAATTGATTCACTGCATTAGTAATCACTGATTAAACACTGCGATCAAAATTAGGTGATAAATTCGAACATGAAAAATACTTCACTAAATTTAACTTCTACCAAATGATTCTCATCTTCTTAGAACATAAAGTTAATGATGAAAATGTAG